ATATATATATATATATATTGTAAACTTATTTGTAATTTTTGTTTATTTACTTTATATTTTTTTTTATTATGTATTCACATGAACCTTAATTGTATCTTGGATAACAACCGAAGTTGTAAGAGGAAATTCTCCTATTGTACCAATCTAGGGACCCCCCTTTTTAATATCAAGTAAGTAGAATAAAACGGCTTATCATTCAAAATCTCACAACATGCCAAAGAAAAGAAGAAAAAGCAACCAAATAAACATTGCATTCCCCTTTGTTTTCGACAATGTTTACATGAAGAACTTGGTCAGGGCAATCAACAAACAATGACTAAGAGCGGAGATGAGTCATGTCAACTCAAAGATGACTATGAAAACTTGATGTCATCATGGAATAAGAGAACACCAACTCAGAGATGACTATGAAAGCTTGATGTCATCACAGAATAAGAAAACACCAACTCAGAGATGACTCTATGAAAGCTCAACATCATGAGAAAGACAATGCCAGTGAGTCATCACCTGATGATGACTTTCTCATTCTAAAAGGGTTTAAAAGGAAAGCCCCAACAAGAGAAAGACAGTCAGAGAGTGCTGTTAGGAGTTCAGTCAGAGATGGGGACACAGTGAGTTAGAGAAAGTGCGGTCAGAGAAGAGGCACAGTGCAGTTAGAGAAAGTTCAGTCAGAAAGGAGATACAGCAGCAGTCAGAAAAAGGCAGTCAGAGTGAGGACACGATCCCGTTAGAAGGACAGTTAGAAAAGAACAGCGAAATAGTCAGCAATTGTGGATACCGCTCCAACCCGAGAAGGAGTGGCTTAAGAGAAGACAACACAAAACGAGCAAGAACCAGACGAAGTGCAGTGAACACCAGAAACCTCCGCAGTCTTGGCCGTCAAGTCAACGTCACAAGAGAAGACATCTTGTTTATCTGGTATGTTGTGAGTCGCGTAAGTTCGAAATACCCCCCTGTTAGGTACCCCCTTCGTTGAATAGATAAGAATAGGCAAATTTCCAAATTCGGTTTTTATAACTCTGTTCCAAACTTTTGTTTATGTTAATAAATGTCCTTAAATTGGTTATATCTGACTCTGCATTCTTTCTCCTGAGAGGCTCATTCCTGGACTTCAGAGTGACTCTTACCCTCGCGCCTTAATCATCCATTTTATCTCAAACGGTGGTGTGTCCGATAAAACACACCTGGTGGCAGGACTCTACCTAAAAAAGCATTTAATAAACCTTTTACGGCCCCCGATCCCCACACTTTCGAAAGCAAAGTTTTGAACAAATACAATATTAATAGAGAGGTTGCGGCGCAAGTTCATACGTTACTTGTACACGGCAAGCAGAAGTATACGGTTTACGTTTTAACTCCAAGAGAAAATCATTGCGGCACACGTTCAACAAACGTCTAGTCACTAGACTCTAGACCAGTGTTTTTCAACCGGGTGCCACGGCACCTTAGGGTGCCACAACGCCACGATTGGGGTGTTGCAAAGTTTAAAACCTTTAGGCATTTTCATGGAAATTTACTTAAGTGTAGTTCAAGATAACTCATTGTCAGTTCTATTTTGCTACGAGATATCTAGTAAGCAAAGAAACTATGACTAATCGCATGTTAACGCAACGTTCTACGCTACGTGTACGCACGACTTGTCACGAGTTCGCCCAACCCACATTGCTTGGCCTTCACGTTTCCAGTCCCAGTACCAGGCCAACCACCAGAGAAGAACGACGTGGACACTTGTGTCTTGTATATACTTTAAAAAGCGTTGCATTGTACTTTGAAAAGCGCGTGGTTTCAATCACAAAGTAGGTGCATATTACAGTATTTTCATAGTATTCAAAAGCAATAATGACAAATACACAATTTTTATCATTTTTTTAATTTAAATTTTCTAAATTAATATAAAAAAGATAAGAAAAAAGTAATGAAATATTTATTTTAGATATGCATAAAAATAGTATAAAAAACGTAACAAAAATTGTTTATCAATAAAATAATAATATAAAATGATGATACATTTGATAATAAAACTATATTTAAAAAACAATAGCGAGACTATTATTTTACATGTAGGTATTTCGACAAAATTCAATGAAACTTAAATTTTGATTTTGAACACGTAGAAACACTTTTGCGTTGCACGTAATATTTGTTTTCGCAAAAAATTCATCTGGCCCATTAGTTCCTCCCCTTATTCAGATTCTAGATCCGCCGCTGGTCAAGGGTGTTACGATTTGTTATTTTTCAATTAGGTGTGCCACTCAATGAAAAAGGTTGAAAAACACTGCTCTAGACACTTGTGCACGTTCGAAACATCACGTGACTCAGAAAAGGTTGCGCATTGACTCACTGGAAATTTGTTCAAAAAATGGCGGATACATTTAACATCGAGTGTTACCAGCGAAGGTAAATAAACAAATTTAACTATTTTAAAGTATTTATAGGATGTTTAATAATACTAAATAATTATTTTTAATCAGCGTGGTGTCTCCTACCGTACGATCGGACTACCTCATACTTTTGTGGAGGGAAGTAGTGGCTTATGTAAATTCGAAAGCAGGTCGGAAAACTAACTTTTAGAAAAATTTACAAACGTATTACGCTGTTTATGGTAGAAGATGCCATGGAATAACAAATCTACCTTAAGATAAGCTATTATGAAGGCAAACATGTGTAAATTCTACATCACTTGCTAAAAAATTGAATAATTAAATAATTTCTGGATTAAAATCGTCTTTTTCTTTACAATATTATTCTTAAATGATTAAATAATCATTATTTTAATAAAATAAGTCATAATTTTAACCCAAACACACAAAAATGAAGACGTTTAAGCCGATGGTCTACTCGCCAAGCTAGACGTAGNTAATTAAATAATTTCTGGATTAAAATCGTCTTTTTCTTTACAATATTATTCTTAAATGATTAAATAATCATTATTTTAATAAAATAAGTCATAATTTTAACCCAAACACACAAAAATGAAGACGTTTAAGCCGATGGTCTACTCGCCAAGCTAGACGTAGCGACCGCCATTATCGACCGTCCAGAATTGTCGGATGGCGGAGCTCGACGATCTGCCATTCACGTTTTGGGGCTGAAAATGACGGTCACAACCTCTATAATATCAATTTTGTGTCTGTCATTCCAAAAATTTCACCTTTCCGAAATTTTCCAAATGTTTCTGATGATTTTCCATTCACGTAGAAGTTGTTTAACCAATGAGCCTTTTTCTGGATAAGTTAACATTTTGTTGTACAGTACATCAACTTTACCAATGCTTTGAGTGAAAAGAATTCATCGAGACATCTACAGTATGCTTTTATAAGACAGTCTAATTTACATTTCTTTTGTATTTATTCGTAGTAACGCTAATATCTCCAAAGAAACTAATTTACTATACATAACTAATTTTCATTAAATAAATGTTTTAAAGTTTTTACAGACTTATCCAATGTTTTCAGTGTACAGTGTTCAATACAACATTAAAAGCATGCATAATTAGTTAATGTGCATATCAATGAAATTTATGCAATTACAGAACCTGTTTAATATATTACTGTTAATGCTTCTTATGAAACTGTGCTATTTTCTTTTAACATATCGTTACACATTTTGTGTTCATATGTTACACTTCTCAATTTCAGGAGCCCTGAGAATACGGTGTGAAGGGTACTTGCCATCTGAAAGTAGATCTAGTTACTTTCTCACTTTAAGAAAAAATGTCAATAAAAATTAATTATACAAAATTACCCTAAGAGGAAATCTTTTTGTTACAAAGAAGAACCCTCCGACTGAAAGTCTTAATGAAACTTTACCAAATCGTTTCATGAAATCCAGTATCTTGACAAAAGAAAAATCATTATTCATGTTTTATCTTAATGAAATGTAGCAAACATTTACTTACGTTTAACTTAAGTTCGAGATGTAAATTTCCAGTGGTAAATCTTCGAATATCTTGAAAGGAATTCTGCATCTATTCAATTAAAAATACATTAAAATATAACAAATTTTTTACATCACTAAATTTACTGTTTAACTTTCGGAACATAAATAAACTTGTATAGTTTATAAGAGTGTATATTACTCGCCCTATAATCGACTTTTTGTGTATGGATTTCTGACCTCGAGCATTAATCGCGCCTAGTTTCGTTTCATGGGATAGGGCATCACCAAGTGGGTTTAGAGCTATAAGGAAGATGCCTTCCAAGCAAAACTTTTACCGGATACCGTCTCTATTTAGATATTCGAAGAATAATCCAAAACTTTTACGTCACCAATTTATCTGTGAGAAGCGAATCTACAACCAAGTACCAGTGTTCAGTAGTGAATTCATTCGTTGGTCAATAAGCGGGCCATTAAAATCGTTTGTGGGTACGGGCTAAGCACAAAATGGAGTGACCGATCAGGAGAGGTATTGGATAAGATTTGACACATTCTGGACAGATTGCCCGTTAAAAATTGTTACAACGTTACCAGTCCCACATTCTTTATAAAATTATACTGTACATCTAAATTGAAATTCAGAAACTTACGGCAAAAGTGAATGAACTCAGCAACAAACCATAAAATATACATTCAACTGTAACTAAAACGACAGCTCCTAATACTACATATCGTAATTCGTCATTCATATGCAAGAATAGAATCATGTAATAACAAAAACTTGTTTCTGATGTAAGAGTAAAGTAGAATGCTACAAATGGGTAATTCATTTTACTGTTCAGTTGTTCAACAACTTCCCACAGAGCGGCATGTTTATTAATTAGGTCTTTCAGTTTACGTTTTAAGTTATAATCATTCATTTTTATCGACGACAATTCTTCTGATATATTCAAGAAGCCTCTCTTTATAATCCACAGGAACATTCCTCCTAAACAAATTAAAGACATAATAATTCCACAAGAAATAATTGTCAGCAATCCGGCTTCTATACTGCAATACAAGGCTTCAAAATTGTACAATTCTTGTGATCTCAAATTAGGAAACATGTAGAAGACGTTTAGTAACTGAAAACAAACGATGAACAATGAAAAAGCACAAATTAATTTCGTCTGAAAACTATGAATAAAAGACTGAATTTCTTTAATTTCACTTTTCTGAAAGCATAGAACTTGTTTTGAATGTATTACAGGATCTAGTTTGCTACTTCTGAAAGAAAAAATAAGAAAATTGCAAGTTAGCATAAGAAGTATTAGTGCCAACTTAACCAGTATTACACCAGTTTTAAGAAATTTAAACCATCCTCTGCATAAAGCAAAATCTTTCACGTATGGAATTACGTTCAACCAAAAAATTATAAGATGCTCCCATAGTAGTAGCTGAATTAACCATAAATAAGCAAGTTTTATGAAATTACGCAAAGAATTTCTATGTTTGTGAGTCTCGCATTGACAAGTAGAAAATGGGTCGATTCCAAAAATGAATGCTGTATCCAAGCAAGGCTTCAAGAAGAATTTTAAGCAGTTAATTGACACAGGTCTGTTATTCATAATTCTTCGCTAATCGCTAATAACTGTATAAATTGTTAATTAAACCGACATTCCTTGTAAGATCAAAGTAGACGATGCTATACAGCTGTGAATACTTAGGTAATAATGCTATTATACATAATACGCAGTAACTTATATAACAACATGAATCAATACGGATCGAATTGCACGATGAACACAATGCCTTTCATTCTATAATTCTAAATTTAGAATATACCTATTAGGACATTTTAGTATTTTCCATTCATTTTTCTCTTATTTTGTATGTAATAAGAAAAATTCATCGATTTTTATTACATTATATGCGAAATTTTCCCAATTCTTACCACACTACTACTACCATAGTGGTATGTAATGTAAAATGGCTACGTTATGTAAGAAATACTAACGATACCGACATTACCACGTAATTTTATAAATTATATATATTTTAATTTTTAAATAAAAATGCAGCTTATAAATATAGGCTAATACCACTATATACTACCACTGTAACGGTACATTGCTTGAAAGTTATTTAACAGTGATCATTAATTTAAATTACTGCATTAAATTCTATTAACTATACAGTGGGTAATCGGTTAACGAATCCGTTCTAAGAATTTGTTTGCTATCCGAAATGTTTGTTAACCGATTATGGATTTACCATCGTTTTTATGGAAATTTGATCAATTTGTTCTGGCGATACCAAAAAATAAAAAAATATATACTTTCTTATTACGTTTATTTATATGTAATAATAAAAATACATACTGTATATACAATTTATTAATCATGTTTTTTTTTTTGTTCGTGGGGGTTAAAGAATCTGTCTAATGTCTATTGCTTTACTGTCTTCTTCAGAATTTTCATAAGTAATTAATAGCATTTTAATTGTAGAGATCCCTAAGCATCAACCTGGTTTGGATGCCATTCTAAGACCATTGTTCTGGCATCCTCTCACTTCTTCAAAGATCTTTAATGGCAGATATCGGCATTAAACGTCTTTTTTAGAAGAAAACATATCTCGCCGAGTTTCTTGGTGTTTTCATTCGAGTTCTTGGCGTTCTTCTGTTGTCAAATCAGTTTCAGGTTCCATTATGAGCCTTTCAATGTTCTTTATTTCTCAGATGTGATTTTTGTTAGTCCTTTGGCTGCTTGGGTCTTCTCGATTATACAGTATATTTCTTAGATAAGATTGAACTGCGTCATACTGTAGAACTGTTCAAGCCATACTGACCAGCAACATCAGACATCTTTTACCCACTTTCTACCTTTGGTATTATATTCTCATCTTTTGAAAATAAAAACCGACACAAAACTTAACATGTGCCGCTCGACAGTCTTGCGTATACTATAAAAGAATTGTTTCTGTCAGAAAAATAAAACGCTGGAATTACAAGAGAGAGTTTCAAAGTTCGGAGGAATACTATCCGATCGGTATATAACGGGTTGAGCGTCGATGTCGACGTTTCCCGCGCTCCGAGAAGTTTAGAATTGTTGCCTGAAGAGAAGGGAAGACCAATCGATATTCGTTATTTTATGTCGCTTCTTCTTGAGTTTGTTCTGTGAGGTGTTCGTTGTCCAAACATACAAATCTTTCGCGAAACTGTTCGTTATCCGAACTGTTCGTTAACTGATCATCCACTGTATTTTACTGAATGAAGTACAGTGATACTACAGGTTTCGAATGCCTCGCTTTTCGAACAATTTAGTTTTCGAACAAAATTTAGAACGCCTTTATTTGTCTCGATTGCCGTACGCTACATCGGTTGTCGAACGAGCTACTCGGCAAGGACTAGGCACAGATTAGAGAGACAAAGATTATCAACTTCATATACAGGGTGATTCAAAAGTCACAGAAATTTAAAAAATAATAATAACTCGCGAACTATTTACTGTGAAATGATGCAGTTTTTACGTAAATGCTTAGAAAGAAACGGGATCTTTTTAGGTGTAATAAAAATTTTAGTACCAAAATAGTTACATTTGTTGCCATAGATGGCGCTTGATAAGATTACAAGTTGTAAAGTTGTAAAGTTGTTATTAGAGCTTACACTAAGAAGATTTTTATTTTTTTATTCTTACTTTAACAAATTTACAAATGATTTCAGTTTTATACAGCGCTATCTATGACAAAAACTGTAACTATCATGGTACTAATATTTTTACTACATTTAAAAAATTTCGCTTCTTTCTAAGCATTTCTGTGAAAACCGCATAATCTTACTGTAAATAGTTTGTAAGTTATTATTATTTATTTTTAAATTTCTGTGACTTTTGAATCGCTCCGTTCTTCCTGAGTTAAAGAAAGTCGACTGCCACGTAGAGTTTTTCGGGTTTTCTCCACGTGTATATCGCCTAAACAGGGGCCAATTTCCCTTAAAAAGACCTCCCCGAAGGCATACCCCTAGGCAGATCGCCCAAGTGTTGCGTTGCGATAACTTAAGAAACAAACAAAAGTTTTACTGCTCTCACCAATAGACACCAATTGAAAATACTGATATTGAAAAATATTTTATTTTTTCTAATGTTAGCACTAGTAAACTGTTTAATTCGCAGCCGAATATCAAATGGTGATCTGCCTACGAACCTTCCGCGAAAAACTGACCAAATATTTAAACTCGTCACCCTCGAAAACCACTTAAATTATATTTTATGCAGGCGGGTAACTTCGTATTATGTAATCTTCCTATTCGAATGCAACTATAAAGCTGGTAGGATAGAAAGAAAGGGCTGTTGCAGATTTAGGTTGAAGTTAATTCGACCAACAGTAGTAGTTGTAGTCCTCTTGGGAGAAAGAATGGTCAACGACTTCTCATTAATGCTATCTACTATTAATATTTGAAAAGTCATTCGTGTTGGATACCTAGACTAACCTTAACGTCTGAAAGACTTGATATAAGACTTGTTTAAATAAAAATATCTTATAAAAATGCTACAAAAATTTCTTTTATGTGGTCTGGTAAAAAAACTGATGAAACCAGATTTAAAAAGTGAATGTCAGAAAAAACAGCCAAGTAAAGTCAATTTTCTAAACTTGTGGCGTAAGAATATTATAAGAGGATTTGAAGTGAAGACTCAACATGTGATTAAAGTGCACAGTACATAGACTACAACTACAGGAAATGTCAAATGAAGAAATGCTACCATGATAATAAATAGAAAAAAATAAACATCGGCACAGAAAAAAAAAACTTCTAGCTATACTCTGTGCTTTAAAATCGTTGTACGTACTGTACATTTATTTGGCTGAAATTTAGAAGATCTTAAGCAGTAGTAGTGAAAGACGTTTGGAGCTATGGGTTCATGAGTTACTAAGAAGTCATGAAATCAGAGGAGAGGGATGAAAAATCCAGGTTTCGTGGTAGTTAAGCAAATCCTTGTAAATATCGCGTTTATCGAAAAATTACTAAAATTGGTTTGGTTTATTTCGTTATGGCAACGCGATACGTGAGCGATCTGCCAAGAAGGATGCATCTTGGAGAGAGTTTTATATAAAGCTATTTCCAATTTAAATATTACTAACGTTAAGAAAAAACAGAGAACGTGGTCAGCCGTTGGCCATGTGCGAATCCCACGACAGACTACCGGTTGTTCGGTGGTTTTATCCACTCGGTGTACTTATTGGGCTGCAATTTCAAAAAAAAATTGTAGATCTATAAATTTCCACTGTCGTCCATTCGTCTCCTTGATAGATGAAAGTCGAGATCAGACATGGAAATCGTAAAAGAAAGTAAACCAGATTAATTTAACTATATATGAACTTTGCGAGTCACGTTACTTCAATTCAAAAGTTTTTCCCTAAACGGAGTTAGATACATAACTCTATTACGTGGGTAAAACACTGCTACATTCCAGGCAGGCAAGTGCTATGTGCAATCATTCTAAGTAATGGGATAATGACGCATCTATTTAGCGCTATATTATTGTCGCAGTAATTCGGTGAATGTAATATATATATTTTTTGTAAGAATTATATTTAGTTAAGTATTTTTTAAAAAATTTGTAATAGCTGGCGCTATATGTAAAGCTATCGATCAAATGTAGACAGAAATTAATCGATACATAGAAATCCAATCGATAATTTGCAGTGAGATGTACGGTATTTTCTAACGACAGATTGAGACAGATTGCTACGAAATCTAGCAGTTACTGCCAGATTTCGTAGCAATTGGTCGCACTGCCTAGTGAAAAAACAAACAAACATCCTCATTTATGTATATAGATAAACATAGAAGTGAAAAAATAAATTATAGAAATAAACACATTTAATGTGTTTAGATTAAATTTAATTGTGTATTGTATAATTTGACAATTTATTTTGGCCTTTTCACCTTCATCTTTTAGAGGAAATTTTCTATTTATACGATAGGATTAAATCATATAGCTTTAAAATATTAAATTTTGTTCTTTTATTAAATGTTCTGGAATTTTTATCCATAAATTACCTAATTACGATAAATGTCTCCGAATACCGTTTCATAATTACGATAACCTTAGTTATCATATAGAAAATTAATTTATTAAATTTTCAATAGCGTAATGCTAAAATAACTAATAAATAATGTAACAAAAGAATTTTTTATGGTTGTAAAATCATTCATATTTGATTGAAAAAATAAACGTAGTTTAACATCCGAAGAGAAAATATCAATTGACATTCCTTCGACACAACGATAATCCAAAATAAAAACAATATAAATCAAGTGATATAAATGAATATGTCAATAGTATATTTAAAATCAATGTATTTATGCATATATTAAAGTCATTTAATTTTAATTGTTGCAGATTTTAGAAGAGTTGGTTGTATTTACGTCATTTAACATTCATACATTTCATTTTAAACCAATAGAAATAACTGAGATAAATTAAAACCATTTTGCATTGTGTCATTAAAGTAGTAGAATAAAATTGCATCCAACATACTTTATGCGAATGAAAAAAATCCAAAAACAGCAAAAAAACAATTTTAAAATGTAACAAAATTAGCATGTTTTTAAGGAAAATCGATCATTTTTAAGTAAAAAGGGCAATTTTAAAAAATTGCCTCATTGGCATAGTTTGAGTTAGGGTATTCATGCTACCGTTTAAAAAAGTAATTTCTAATTAAATCAAAGGACGTTTATTATGCCATGAGACTCATTTTTAAAAAATCGGAAAATATTACAGTAATCCTAACGAAGTAAACAAAAATATATAAATCAGAAACGAACAAATATTTATTGTGACAACGTCTCAACTCCCGGCTGAAATTTTAATCATATTTTAGTTTATTTAATTCAAAATACATACTCTCAATCTAAAAGAAGTAGAGTCTTGTCCCTTTTTCCTAATGACAAAGAAGTCCTTACGCGTGTCTATTTTGGACACATAAACGGACCCTTTTGCTAAACGGAATTTATACATTTAAATAAGATGTTTAATATTTACTCTTAACGCTTCTTATGAAACTGTGCTATTTTCATTTAATATATCGTTACATATTTTGTGTTCATATTTTACACTTCTCAATTTCAGGAGTCCTGAGAACACGGTGTGAAGGGTACTTGCCATCTGAAAGTAGATCTTGTTACTTTCTCACTTTAGAGAACAGTGAATAAAAATTAATTATATAAAATTACCCTAAGAGGAAATCTTTTTGTTACAAAGAAGAACCCTCCGATTGAAAGTCTTAATGAAACTTTACTAAATCGTTTCATGAAATTCAGTATCTTAAAAAAGAGAAAAACCATTATTCGTATTTAACTTCATGAAATCATACAAACTTTAGTTACTTACGTTTAACTTAAGTTTGAGATGTAAATTTTCAGTGGTAAATCTTCGAATGTCTTGAAAGGAATTCTGCATCTATTCAATTAAAAATACGTTAAAATATAACAAATTTCTTACATCATTAAATTTACTGTTTAACTTTTGGAACTTAAATAAAGTTGTTTAGCTTTTAAGGCATTATATTTCATTCTCCATAATCCACTTTTTCAAAGTATGGCTTTTTGGCCATGGACATTAATTGCGTCTGGTTTAGTTTTATGGAATAGGGCAACACCAAGTGGGTTTACAACTATTGGAAGATGCCTCCTGGGAAGAACTTTTACCAGAAATTGTTTTTTCTTATGTATATAGAAGTAAAATCCAAAATTTTTACGTGACCAATTCATCTGTGAGAAGCAAATCTGCAACCAATTACCAGTGTTCAGTAGTGCATTTATTCGGTTGATCAGTAAGCGAGCCTTTTAAATCATATTGTTTGTAAATTTAAGCTAGGCACGAAATACAATGGCTGGGTGGTATTGGATCAGGCTTGACATATTCTGGACAGATTGCCCATTTAAAATTGCTACAGAGTTGCTACTCCTATATTAGATTTCTAGCCTCTTAGAAAGTGGATTAATCCTTTACCTTCTTTTAAAAAGTCTTTTTTAGGATTGATACTTTTAAATATACCAAATACGTTTAATTTAAAGTCTGTATTAATTATTCACGTATACGCATGATGGCATATTACGTCGGTGAACAGGTTAGATTACAAAATCTTTAATAATAATTTTTACAAAATCAGGTACGGCTCTCTATGACAATATATAACAGAATGAACACTTAAAATGCATTTCGGACTATACGTCCCTCTTTTAGTTAGTGTTCAACAAAAGGTAAATTTATACAAAATGTAAATAAAATGAATTCTAAATAATACAAATATACATTAAATGGCCGATTTAAAATTGAAATAAAATGATGTTTGACAATGAGCGTGATGTTTAACAAATGTAAAATTTTTCAAGAACATCACTTTTTCTACTTTTTATATTTTTTATGTTTGTATAAATGTACATTTTGTTTAACACTAACTTGAAGAAGAACGTATACTCCGAATGCTTTTTAAGTGTTTATTGTGTAATATATGTAATATATTGTCATAGAAAGCCGTACCTGATTGTAAAAAGTATCGTTAAAGATATTGTAATCTAACCTGTTCACCGGTGTGATAAGCCCTCAGGTATATACGTGTATAATTAATACAGACTATGAATAAAACATCATCAAGGGCTAAAAGCAATAGATTATTCAATTAAATACAAAACGTGGCTTCTGAATGTCTTGATAAATTTTGGTCGAAAATTTTTACTGAAAGCACCCTACCTCTTTATTAATGTAGTTTCATTTTGCTTTTCGTATATTCAGTAATATAAGTAAAAAATGTCATGGCGCTGCTCAGTAGTTAAATGTTATACGCTCGTTACTAAGGATTAAATGTGAGTAATGAGCATTTAACATAAGTTTACTAAGTGAGGATAACGTTCATGCGTAATCCACATGCATGCCAAACGTAAAAATGTTTACCATAAAAATTTAGCTCTTGAAAAACTTTATAAAATTATGAATTTAAATTGAGATTGAAAAACTTACGGCAAAAGTGAATGAGCTCAGCAACAAACCATAAAATATACATGCAACTGTAACTAAAACGACAGCTCCTAATACGATATATCGTAATTCGTCATTCATATGCAAGAATAGAATCATGTAATAAGAAAAACTTGTTCCTGATGTAAGAGTAAAATAGAATGCTACAAATGGGTAATTCATTTTACTGTTCAGCTGTTCAACAACTTCCCACAGAGCGGCATGTTTATTAATCAGGTCTTTCAGTTTACGTTTTAAGTTATAATCATTCATTTTTATCGAAGACAATTCTTCTGATATATTCAAGAAGCCTCTTCTTGTAATCCACAGAAATATTCCTCCTAAACAAACTAAAGACATAAGAATTCCACAAGAAATAATTGTCAGCAATCCGGCTTCTATACTGCAATACAAAGCTTCGCCATTGTACAATTCTTGTGATTTCAAATTAGGGAATATGTAGAAGACGTTTAGTAATTGAAAGCAAACGATGAACAATGAAAAAGCACAGATTAATTTCGAATGAAAACTATGAATAAAAGACTGAATTACTTTTATTTCACTTTTCTGAAAACATAGAACTTGTTTTGAATGTATTACTGGATCTAGTTTGCTACTTCTAAAATATAAAACAAGAATATTGCATAAAAGCGTAAAAAGTGTGAGTACGAACTTAAACAGCGTGACACCAGTTTTAAGAAATTTAAACCATCCTCTGCATAATGAGAAATTTTTCACGTATGGAATTAGCTGAATCCACAAAAGTGTAAAATGTTCCCATAGTAGTATCTGAATTAACCATAAATAAGCAAGTTTTAAGAAATTACGCAAAGAATTTCTATGTTTGTGAGTCTCGCATTGACAAGTAGAAAATGGGTCGATTCCAAAAATGAATGCTATATCCAAGCAAGGCTTCAAGAAGAATTTTAAGCAGTTAATTGACACAGGTCTGTTAGTCATAATTCTTCGCTAATAACTATATAAATTGTTAATTAAACCGGCATTCAATGTAAGATCAAAGTAGACGATGCTATACAGCTATGAATACTTGGGTAATAATGCTATTATACATAATACGCAGTAACTTATATAACAACATGAATCAATACGGATCGAATTGCACAATGAACACAATGCCTTTCCTTCTATAATTTTAAATTTAGAATATACCTATTAATGCATATTAGTATCTGCCATTCATTTTTCTCTTATTTTGTAAGTAAAGAAAGAAATTCATCGATTTTTCTTACATTGTAAGCGAAATTTTCCCAATTATTGCCACACTACTACTAACATGGTGGTATGTAATGTAAAATGGCTACGTTATGTAAGAGATATTAACGATAGCGACATCAACTTGTAATTATTTTAAATTATATATATTTTAATTTTCCCTAATTTCGTAATATTGCTACTCTTTTCCATACTTATTTAACAATATTATTTAGAGTTAATTGTAACGAGCAATTATGTATTATGACATAGTGACATACACGCAATGGTAAGCTGCAATTTTTTTATCATATTTTCAATTTATTTACTTCAAAATTTATGCTCTTCATCTCAAATTAGTAGTGACTTGTCTCTGTAGACCATAATTTTCTTTAATTAAACAATAGAGTTGTGCCAGTGATTTATCTAATACAATTCAGAGGAAAGTTTCGAATTGAAATAACGTGACTTCTGGCTTGAATCGGAAGTTTCTATATAGTTAGTCGGGGGCTACTGCCCTTCTGGTTTCCATTTTTTGTTTCATCTTTTATCTGCCTAACTCTGTTCGTGCGTTAAGGAAGGACAGACAGACGTACGAGCTAGACTACAGTGGGAATTTATAGGACTAAATTTTTTTATAATTGCAGTCTAATAAATAACTACATTGCAAAATTGAATTATTCTTAATTATTATTAATTCTTATATGTGGTCAGATTAATTTCCTGTTACGTTTAAGGTATTTTGATTATTTATTTTAAGGTTTTGTTTATTTATAACCGCAAAAATACAGAATAAAAATTTCTATTGTATATCTACGTGGTAGGATCCAAAAGTTTGAGAACGGCTTATAGTTCCTTGCTTTGAATAGTTTAAAACACCGACGTACTATCTCCTTCAAAGTAATCCTCTTGGTCGACGATACACCGTTTACCAGCGCTGGTACAGCTTGTGGAAGATTTATTGTAAGCCATCTGACAAAAACTGTGAATAAGAAACTTCTCATCAAATCAGCAAATGCACGTTGTATTTGCTTTACAATTGTTTAACATGTCGTTATTAATATTTTTAAAACAAGTATCCAAAAAATAATGAATACAGTTGTAACAATAAAAAAAAATTCTTAGATTCCGATTGTTTTCATTTAGTGCGCTCTTGTCGAAGTCTCAAGAATAACTTGTTATATGACATTATATTAAATGTGAGTCAATCTCTGATAAAAATAACGATTCATCACTAAGAAATCATTTTATACAATTATTTAGGATACAGCAATGCTGTTGCAAGGTTCAAAACGTGTTTTCGATAATTAAATTTTAGTGTAATTTTCACTGAAATTTCATTGCATTGTAAATTTCATTGCATTTTTAACGAATTTTCGGATATTAAACAAGAATTAATGCAAAGAGCGATTTGCCGTAGAAATGGCACATTTTGCCACGTTAACGTCAGAAATTGTAACCAAACTCCAAATTCGATTAGGCCAAAATACCATCTTTTCATTAGTATTTGAATACTGTGAATTAGCTTTTTGCTTTGGCATTTGCAAGGAATTTGAGGTTTTACTCTGAACAACATTGCATAGTTTAGTATGGGTTGAATAAAAGAATTTAAGCAAGCTTTAAGTGAATTCGAGATCATTCTTAGTATTGAATATACATAGCCCTTGTAGTTGTGTATTAGAAAAGTTAGCTAAAGTAATAGATGTTTGTCTAATATCGTTGAGAAACTTAACGAATATTCAGTTTTATTTTTGACGTTGCATACACGATAAATTTAAAATACCACTACATATAAATAATGAAATTATATTAATGTCAAGTCCATAAATTATTGCATAATGTAAGTTAATTAAAATTTTTGTAACTTTAGGCATTTTCAAATACAATCAATGCAAATTGATGGTCGTTTCCTATCTGTACATCTAATCACGTTATATAATGGGAATCAAAAGAAATTGATGAGATTTTAATTAATAATGGATCTGTTATAAATGATTTCGTGTACGTTGATTGTCTTTAAATGAGAATTTATATTTAATTTACATGAATTACTGTAATATAAATCATACGTGTTTATCGTTCATTATTCTGAAGTAGATCTGTCAATTATCGAAATGGTGATATATTGATTAAAGAATTACTTGCGCATTATATATTGTAAGTGACAGAAAAAATTTATGAGATAATAATAACAAAGCTTAATAAATTAAAAACGGCTTTAAACAAAAATGAAAAAACTTTTTGCGATTTGCAGTGTCATTTAAGAAACTTATATGCAATTTAGTGTAATATTTCTATTTTTTATTTATATTATAAATTGTGTTTTTATTTCTAGTACATGAAGTGTATTATTATTATTATTATTATTATACTACTAACTTATAACACATTTGTATTACTGAATAATGTTAGATATATTAAACAATAGCCTAAATATAACTATGAATTATTTCTTTGACATCATCACAATGATGGACTGCAAGTTTATCGTCACATTTCGTCAATTTTAGTACTGTCTTGCCCCTGTACAACATACTTTTCCGGTTAACATTGGATTAGTGCCTGTCATTTGTCTAAAACCATTCAGAAAAAAAGTTTAAATTGAAATAACGTGACATGCGTTTCGAACTGGAAATTGACATATAGTTAATCGGTGCCTCATGCCCGTAAAGTTTTCACATGTTGTGTCGGCTTTCATCTGTTTAACTTTGTTTTGGAGGTTAAAGAATGACAGACTCTAGTGGAAATTTATAGGTCTAAAATCTTTGAAAATTGCAGCTCTTTTATTAATGGCATGTGTTTATTAATTAATTAACTGCTCTTATGTTGCTTGCATCAGTCAATTTAAATAAACAAGTTATTAGACAAATTCTTGTTAAATTCATATAACATCACAATTAGAAATTAAAAGGTCCAAATATTTGTATTGTATCAAAGCATTTGTTTCACATTACTCTATGTTTATATTGTATTTGGTTTAATTTCTTTTTAGTTGGTGATAAATATTATAAATGTCTGCTTTATCAAAGATAACAATGTATTGAGTGACATTTGAGATAAGAACACGGTAAATGTTTTTTGTCCTTGACATAAATGTGATAAGCCAAGTTTATAGGTGTGTTGCCTATATCCTTGGCGATATTACGGGCTCACAATCGCAAGATTGGCTCAGTAAAACTTTTTCTATGAGAGCGTTAAATTTTTAGTGGAAGTAGATGATCGTATATCGCCCTTTTCCTCGTCAGGATTCCCGACACCAGTTAATCAACTTTTCCTGTGCGCGGATTAACACGCGTGTGGAGATGATACGGATAAACCCTTCATTTTGATTCAGATACTCGAGAGACAAGTATAAACAAATATTTAATGAAATGAAATAACAAAATTACACGAAATGATATATTCGAATAAAGCGTTTCGAGAGAGAGAGCTCACAATTTTTATCAATAATCATACTACCTCTCTGTATCTTTATCTTCTTCTGTTTTTATGGGAATATGACTATTCTTTCTTCTTGGTCCATCATTGGCACATATTTAAATAATTTCTTCCCTATTTACTGACTTAAATTCTTAACTTCTGGATATCGACTTTGGGCGTTGGCCTTCAGGAGATGATATGGAATACGTCTGTCCTTCTTCGGCTCGCTTGACGTACTCTCCGAATCATGCAAAATTCTTTCTTTTTCTCATGAATTTGCTCCAATCAGCATTTCGTATTTTTCCACGTGAATAGGAAAAAGGGGATTTACCGAGGGGTTGACAATTCTCAGGGTGACTAAGATTTTCAGTAGATAAGGGGAAAACAAAAGGATGTCGATCTTCCGTTGCAGGGAATGACTTTTATCAGTTTCCCTCGTTTTAGAAAATATAATTTTCCCACCAAAATCAGAGAATATTTTCCATAAAAAATTTAACTATTTAATTAAATTGATAATTAACCACAGGGGCGATTTGCCTCTCACATAAAGGCACAAAATTGAGTTAAAATAATTTTTATAATTAATTTGACACTCGACATAAAACGCATGTTGCATTGGAACTCTGTTTTGTTTCTTTTCTCTTTTGTAAACATAATGGAAGGTATCAGTTAACACCGATCTATGCAACACTTTTTATTTAATATTCTTATGATTGTATCCTTAAAACCACGATACCACAACACCGATAATATAAAGGGAACAAATTTGTTATTTAATCGGGGTATTATCATTTACTGATAATAATAAATTCAGTTTTTTAATAATTTTCAACATAAATGTAACTAATTATTGGGAAAAATAAATTTCTATTATCTTAACAGAAAAGAAGTTCTAAGTAATATAGATGCTTCGATGTAAGAATTTTGTTCTTCAAAAGTATTTAGTGATGTTAATTTTAATGAATTTGGCAAAATAACACTTCGTTTCCTAATGCTTAGACTCTGGAATCGATACTAAGCTATACAATACGCAAAAATATTGGGGTAATTTATAGATTCTGCATCCTTTACATATTTCGCCATTTGTTAGCAAAAATAATTGATAGGTTGATTAATTGACAGATAACTGAACTGAGAGAATGAAGAACGCAGGTCACATAACCATTTTGTTCAATACAATACACCGAATACACAAAACATAAAGCCAAGAGTAAAGTTCGGATCATGTCTTCCGATTTCCGGTCCGTCAAAAAAAAAAACACCTTACGACTCCTTAAACTCAGTTTAAGTACGTTTACTTGACGACTATTTACAATACAGTATAGCAATATCTCTTCCTCGCTTCTAACAATAGAGTCTTAGGTTAGACTTGTTTCTCCTCGTACCAATGGTCGGGTTGCTTTATATCTGCTTGGGGGTTTTGGCTGCTTTTTTTTCAGCCAAAACCCCCAAAAGAACGTATAGATGGATGTAAACAGGACAACTGTATGTCACCAGTTCCTTTTTCAGAAATTTTTGTAATTTTAATTGGATGTGTTTAGTGTTTTTTAAAAGGACTCTTTGTAATTTTCCGGCGACAAGCAGCCTACAAAGAAAGGTCAGTCGCCGAGAATGTAACACAAAAAATAAATGATGATCCTTTTTGTACAGTTTTGTCTTCAATTTTATTAATAATGTTGTTTATTTAATTTCCGATATCTAAAGAATCAAATTAATATAATCAAACAATCAACAAATTAGTTAGTAGAATCAATCATCAATCAGGTAAAAAACTGTAATACAAATAAATCAAACGGTTTAAAATATTATTACAATTAAGGAAATGGGGATTATATAGATTACCACCTATGGAATTTCGGAACTTTGAGTATATATCTGAACTGAGGGGACCGAGATGAGTTCAACGATACCCTACTTTTGGACCAGAGACGAAAAATAAAAAAGTTATCAGACTTTTTCCGGCAATAGCATGATAAAATTGTGCGTTAATGTTACCTTTGGTGAATAAAATGGCGGCTCGTCTCCGATTCCAGCAAACAGAAGAAAGGAAACAGTGGGGACGCACGTTCTAACCTAACCTAACCTATTCTAATAAATTACCAAAATTATTACCAACCAAATTATTAGAATAGGTTAGGTTAGGTTAGGTTAGAACGTGCGTCCCCACTGTTTTCTTTCTTCTGTTTGCTGGAATCAGAGACGAGCCGCCATTTTAGTCACCATAGTTAACATTAACCTTACCTAGGTAATTTGAGAAATGAAACAATTTTCGCAACTTTAACGGATGACCCTAGTTAATCTGCAGATTAGCTAGGTAATGTACACATTAACGGCTTTCGAGCTTTAGTGGTAACATATATACTGTATACTATATATATAAATTATCATGACCTTACTTAAAATATCGAAGAGTTCGAATATAATGGAAATAATGTGTCGTATTTCGATTATAATCAGATTTACTGAAATGTTCCTTGTTATTAGATTTACAGGTTTTTATAAAACCCGTCACTACCCTTAAAATTAAGCATTTTGTCGTTTTATAATTGAAAGCATGAAAATTTTCAATAATAAATTATCGAAAAAGATAGTGTCACCTACGCAGTTTTCAATCTTGCC